AGTTCACTCGCATGATGGTGCATTAAAGGCGCCCCAGAATAGTCCAGTTTCGAGTTCGCTATGACCGCTGAATTAAAGAAATGAAGACACATTTTTACAGGCTTAGGGGCTGTTTACATGGAGGTGGGGGACCCCAGGCAGGTGAGGTAACCTGCTTAGGTGAGGTAAAAAGAACCCTCCTTTACATGCCATCTTCCAACCCCGCTAACCCGGGGTGCACTTTCTCAAGATTATTGAATGGTCGCTATATAAGCCACGTAAAGAAGAAAAATGCTAGCAAACTACTTGTTTTGGCGATTAATTCTCTTCTAAACTCACTTGCTGCTCTTGCTGCAACCTTCAGTGCTGTGGCTTTCTATTGTTACCTTTTATAATGATGCAAAGCCACCGCCAAAGTGAATTTGATGTATCACGAATCCGAGCCCCGCCTTGAAACGTTACGTTTACATGGCAAAATTTGACTCAGGCTGAGAGGGTTACCCGGTCTGGCAGACCGGGCTACCCGCTTTAGCGGGTCACCCCACTTATCATGTAAACGTGATCAAATTAAAATGAGAGAATATATGGACTGGCGGGTTACCCCAACTAAGCCGGTTACCTCACCTACCTGGGGCGCCCCCCCAGCCCCATGCAGACAAAAAAATTGGCCTGTTTGTTACTCTGTCTATTGTGTATATTCAAATTTTAAACACTTATTTGCTAGAATTTCTGATTGCGTCCAGGCTAACCCTGTATAAATGCGTCGTTAATGTTTGCATTCAGCGGTAATTCTTAATTCGGAACGGGACTGTTGATCCTATTTAAAAAAGGACTCATCAGTACCTTTTATGCACCACGATCCAAGTAAACCTGATCTTAAACGGCCTGATCCGGATCATCCCAAGGCTCAAGGACCCTCAAGATAAACGCCCTCTAGCGATATTTGTATCCGGCAGAATTAGTCAGACGTTTTCTTAAAGCACTTACTAGTGCTAGAAGTCTTTCAGTAAATGTTAAAAAAATAACATATTATCTTTTGGCGGATTTAGTGACATATACAATAATCATTTGAAGGAAGATCATCGCAGATATTTACGCAACTTATGCAGTTGCGAAAAGAAAACCTGAAAAAAAATTCAGGCTTGTACGGGATTCGAACCCTTGACCTCCACGATACCGGTGCAGCGCTCTACCAATTAAGTTAACAAGCCAGCTGGGAGAAGGTCGTTGAATTGCTTCGTTATAAACCCGTGAAAGGATGATGACTCTAACAGAGAGCGCTGCACCGGTATCGCAGCAGGTCAAGGGTTCGAATCCCGTACAAGTTTGAATTTTTTTCAGGCTTTCTTTTCGCTACTGCATAAGTTGCGTATATAACTGCGATGATCTTCCTTCAAATAATTCTTCCGGCTCCGCACTTTACATATATGATTTTCATATATTCATAATTTCATATACAGTAATCACAGTTATTTGACAAGAGAGGATAAAGGGGACAGAGAAGGCATCCTCCATACACACCCTATTCCATAGGTAATTCGTCTCGAGTTATTTTTAAGACCACAGATCCCAAGGGGGATTAGACAACAGCCAATCACATAGCGCGAATGTGTTCCCCGTGGATGACCCACGCCCAGAGCCACGCGTCCTTCACGAATTGAGGCAGAAAAAAAGGGCAGAAGACGCGGACAGCAAATTGCTATTCGTTTTGTCGACGAAAACGACTAACGGAGAGATTTCTGCTAACTCGGAAGCGGCCTATTAGAAAAAAACTAGGAGTAATCGGAGCTTAGAAGAGTGCGTTCGATATGTTTGTAAGACGTACTGGTAGCAGTTGAGGAGGAAGGGTGGATGGTTATTGCAATTGATTAAGGCCGGTTTCCATGGGCGCGATCCATTCAACCAAAATTCAGACCGGTCCGACCGGGAAAAGAGGACCACCTCAAAAGGTGGACCTGTTTTTCCGAAACTTTTCCGGTTGGACCGAACCGATCCATTGAGTTTTGGACCGAAATTTCCGGAAATTTTGGTTGAATGGATCGCGCCCCATATGATCGCTACGATCGCTGTGATCGCAGCGATCACTGAGAAAAAAAAGTTCAGCGATCATATGGAAACCACTCTCCTGCGATCACAGTGACAACGATCGCTAAGATAGAACTTTTTATTTCTCAGCGACTGTTGTCGCTGCGATCGTTGGAGAGTGGTTTCATATGATCGCTATGATGGCTGCGATCGCTAAAGTTTTTTTTTTCTCAGCGATCGCAGCGATCACAGCGATGGTAGCGATCATATGGAAACGGGGATTTAATTTGATCATGGTATATTTTAAACGCAAGGATTGCTTACATCGTATGGTCCGTCTCAATAAGTGCAGTAATTTGGTCGAGTGTGTTAATTTCAGTGACTTGAGTGGAGCTACTGTGGATTGTTTATGAGTTTTTCCGAATAAATAAGATAGACTTAAAATTTTCGTTTGTCCGGTGCCGAAAATATCTCAAGTCATGATGAAACGGCGCCGCCGAGCTTCACATCTCGGTAGATTTACTTTGTGTCACAACGGCCGCCGAGCTTCACATCTCGGTAGATTTACATTGTGGCACAACGGCCGCCGAGCTACAATCCCGGACAAAACTACTTGAGAAAGTTTTCCCCATCATGTCCACTTTCCTACGCAACAAAACTATTTCCAAAACGACGCCTTTGCCGAAAGAAAACCCCTTCCCCCAATTCAATGTTGCTTCCCACAAACGCCCAGGGATCAGGCTTTCTTTTGAATACACAACAACATTGCTTTCAGGGGAAGGGGGAGAGGGAAGAACCGGTACAGCTACGATGTTTAGAAAAATGCTGTCCAAGTATACAATTTTCTCAACAGTTTTGTCCAAGATTGTGTACAAGGTGATGCGCGTTTTCTGGCAAGAATATTTGCAAGGACAAAACAAAACATGCTAATAAAAAGCACTTTACAGAAGCTGTTTGGAGCACAAAGTTTCACCCCAGACCATCTTCGCATAGAAAAGCACCCTCTTTAAAACAATCAGATTTCGCAATAGCCGTACAACGCGTGCTAATTGTTACTTATTTTCCTGTAGTTCCGGAATGGAAGGCTCGGAAAATGTGAAAAGTAATTTATCTTTTTCAGAAGAGTCTGAACAAGACTTGTATGACGGTTCTCTTCGAAGAAAAAGAGTTCGTAGTGTTTATTTCGGGACATAATAATCAATCCGATATGGAAACGTTTCCCGTGACGTGGAAATTGCTTCTCAGAGCTTATAATTGGTTAAACTATGGGTGTTACAGAAACTTTGTTCGTTAAAACTCGGTTAACTTTTTATGATAATTCCATGGATAGAATAATATTACGATTAACAAAGTATTGAAACGGTTAACACCATTTCGTTTTCAATAGAGAATGACCTTCTGATTCTTATTTAACTTCTCTGTTAATCGTTGTTAACTCAAAAATTTCCTGTTAATCGTTCCGACTTGCAGATATTGTGGAGAGAAAAAGATTACAAGACAACTATGGCAATTTTTATCATGCCTTGGTTTACAAATTATCAATTTAGGTCATAATTTTTTCCAGTCGATAAAAGGAACCCGAAGATAAAACGTGCACTTTTACAGGTCACGCGATAGTACATAGTGTCACGTTATCGCGCGTGACATTTCTAGATTCATAGTGTGTTTCTTTGGACTCGATATCGCTACAATTTCAAAAGTAGGCATTCAAATGTGAAAAGTAAAAATGCAGCTTTTGTAAATATTTAATCCCCTCTCCATTTGATGCTTTTATTCATTGCAAGTGCTTGCCCATTGACTATTTCGGTGATGGGAAAATTGTTCAAAGTTGTCGGGTCACGCGCTCTGAAAATTCAGCAAAAGTTTCATGCGTTATTTGTTCATCGAATCGTAGTGGGTGAAATTCCCGTTTTTTGGCTAATCTACTTGACGGAAACGTCCTTTTCGTCCTCGAAAAGCGCAATGTACGCCCGCTACTCTCTACTCCAAACGCGCGTAAAAACCATGCATGGAAAATGAATTTCGCAAACCTTCTTGACTGACCACTCCAATCAAGTGAGACATACCAATTGGTTTTCTTGTCATAAACGCCTCTGTTTTCACTCATTTTGCATTAATTATCTACTTGTCTTTGAAATGAACTACATTTATAAAGAACAGGCTTATTTGGCTGCGTTAAAGGCTGCAAATGGCCTTTCCCAGTCAAATACATTGTAGATTTACTTTGTAGCACAACGGCCGCCGAGCTACACAACTCGGTAGATTTACGTGGCACAACGGCCGCCGAAACTTTTGAAAGATTTAGCCAACACAGATCAATAATAGACCTTCAGCAAACTCTTGAAGTATGTACGCTTTACGAAGATTCAGCAAACTTTTAAAAGATGAACGCTTTACGAAGACAATAAAAGACCTCAGAAAACGCTTGAATGATGAACGCCGAGGACGCACGAATCATTACCTGAGTTAGTTCGTCAAAGTGAGGCAAAACGAAAGCAAGCGTTTCAAAGCGAAGCAAATGTGTGTCGACGACGACGACAAATGCAATCTCGAAAAAGCCTCCCTTATTAATTGCACAGGACACCCAATAATGCACAGAATACCCAACACAAATTAGGGGTTGCGTTCACGAACCTCGAATGCAATGATTTCCAGAAAAGTATATTCGTCATCTTCGGTTGAAATTTCCAATAAGAGTTTGCAGTTAACTTTAAGTCCAACATTTTCGGGAGTTTGATTTGATGTTCATCACTAAATTTTCTCTCGAAGATAGACGATACTCTTGGACTGTTCTTTATCTACGGAACGCGACCTGTACCCACAACTGTGACATGGAAATTGTGACCTGTGCATTCTGGCGTTTCGACTTCCAAATTCATCTCTGGTGAAAACCTCGCACGATCCTTAAGGATCCTATTAGATATTTATGGTATGGACAGAGGTTCTCAGTATAGGAATAAAACGTTCCGAAAGCCATGAAGCGGACACAGAATTACTTACAGTTCATCATCAACATGTTGTGGTTTAGTCATCCTGTATCCGTCCTGAAGTAAACTTACAATCTTCCTGCCATCCATTCGTGGATATGGAGAACCCCCTAAAAAGGAGAAAGTGACCGGCTGTGACAATACTTTATAACAAGGCATGAGTTCTTCCAAAATTTGTTGTTGTCTTTGTTGCTGCTTTTACTCAAAATGGAAGGAGCTAACTGTGGCTGTAAGGACATATTATTTACACACTCGCCTCTTTATCTGTCTCATTTTGGCACCAGAGGAACTAAAAAAGGCTGTCAATTTAAGTCATGGTGTAAGTTCTTACTGTGATAAGGTAACAGGATTAAATTATCAGCGAACTTTCGCAATGTAGCGAGAGACAGTTGTCTCCCTGAACGTAAAACATTTCAACCAAAGTTAATCTGAAAAGGCTTCTCGACTAGTCAATCTTTCACACGAGGGGTTTAAGGCAAGGGTCAAAGGTGTGTTCGAATGAATGATTGGCAATATCTCTCGCTAGGAGATCTAGAACAAAATAATTTTCCCCAAATTAAATCATGAGGTTTTCTTGTGGCTGAATACCCTGGCTCCAGAGGTTCGTTCTCAAAATACCTAGTAGGAAGTAAACCGTGCTTACGGTTTGATAAGGCTCCCGAGACGGATCTCTGGTCACACAAGGAAGAAACATCATTTCTATGCGAGAAATCAGTTCAGAATTTGAACTGGGTCGCCGATTGGTTACTCCCACGACCGCAGGGAATTAACGCTGTAACAGTGAACCTGATTGGCTGCATCGAAAAACTTCACCGCATGAGATTAAAAACCGGTTGCAATTGCAATATTCATAACAAACTATTTAATCCCGGGTCGTTATTCGGAGATCTCGGCTTTCACGCTTACTCTTGGAAGTGTGGCAGACCAATCTCTGTCTAAACGTCCAAATAATTTAAGCGAACATCCGACAACTGAATCAACGTTGCTCGAGGAAGAAGCTTTGTTTGAACGTTTCCTACCAGAGGACGTACTTTGAATGAATGTGATGTTTTCCTGCTATCCCTTGTCTCGCTGGGCTCAGTTCTACATTCTCACGGATAGTACCCCGGATGCAAAAGGTTTTTCTTTTTTTCCAAATTCCTAATAATTCGTGTCGCGGTTTCTTTGCTAAAAAATGCTGCAGAATGATGTTTTGTTTGGCATAGCCGTTTTGCTTGGCAATATTTAGTCTGACCTGGCTCGGAACGGAAAATCTTTTTAATCCTGTTGACTTCTAAAAACATACAGAGTGTGCACTTCTCAGCTGATTTCCGTCCTTTTTATATACTTTAAACTTGAAGTGTATTTTTTTGGATAAAGAATTTGTGACAATTTTTAATAGCAATTCTTTTTTCGTGCATCGCAGACGCAAAGTCACGTACGATCTCAGCTGTCAGCGTCAATGAAAACAAACATGAACACAGGGTCCAGAGGAGTTTCGTGTGAATAAATGAATTACTTATTAAAAGTATCACCTTGAAAAATGTCTATACCTGTCCCTTAGCACGATTAATTAGCCCAATGGGATCTTTATAAATCTACTGTAAACGATTTCTTTGCTTCTTATCTGACCCAGATCAATAACCGCAAGCCATATCCTCGCTGGCGCACGGCACGTCGCCCGAAGGGTGACCGAAGGCTGTCGCCCGAAGAGCGACCGAGGCACGAAGATAAGAAAAAGATATCCTCTGGAACCCAGGGTAGTGGCTGAACGTTTAAAAAATTGAAAATGAAGGAAATTGGCTAATTGGTGGGGAATTTACTTTCTTTGGATAAACAAGCTGGCATTTCTGAAAAAGGATAAACATTCCTAACTTCCTAAGTCTGGAGTGAATGTACGCAAAGTTCAAAATTAAAGTTTTTAATAATCAGAGATTAAATTTGGACATTTAAAATGATTTTTTCTTGAAGTGCCATGGACGGTCATTCCAAACCTGAAGTGTTAGAAATATTTAATGTGAATAAGAAAAATGTTCTTGCTCGATTTCTTTATGTCTGCCAAATTTTGATTTAGCGCCAACGTAATAATAATAATAATAATAATAATAATAATAATAATAGTACGGTTCTTATGAGCGCATTAGGGAATCTCACTGGCTTACATGTCATAATAAAATAAAATATAATGATGATACTAACAGCCGATAAAAAAAAAAAAAAATTAGAAAATGACAATACCTACAATGATCTATACCGAAGTTGTTACCAATAAACCATTTTCCACAGATAAACCACTTAACTACTTGAGCAGCGTCCCATAATGCCAAGCAGCCAACTTCCGATTTTTGTTCACGACGTTTGGGAGGTCAGCGTTCTTGTTGCTGAAGCTCGCCATTATCACATATGGTACCGCTGGGGTTTTTATCGTTAGCAGCAAGTTGTCCATGACAACATGCGCGGAAAACAAAAGCATATACAAATAATGTATGCATTCTTGAGCTCTAAAGTATGTTATAACGTACTACCTTTCTTCTTTCGGAACATTCTTTATGTTTTTCACAACAAAATAATAAGAAAAACTTCGAAAACCACTGTAAGTTAATAGCTATAGGACCTTACCAATTGTAAATATCTCGTAAAGCAAGACTCCATAGCTCCACCTATGAGACCGAAAAGAGACATATCTGCGGTTACATTTTAAACAAATAAAAATAAAAAGTTTCTGCGGTTTTTTAATACACATTTTCTCTCTTCTAGTTTAGAGATGGGGGGGGGGGGGGAAAAGGGTTTGGGGGTAAAAACCGGGGTTAACCCAGGGAATTTAATGTTTTTTGTTTTTTCTTTTTTTCCCCGTCCCCGGTTGGGGAATCGTTTTTTTGAAAAATAAAAATTTTTAATGAATATAAATGGGAAGGAAAACCACTTAACCCCCATCAAACAACACTACTTTGATTCGAAAAGTACTTGTCCAGAATAAAATCATAATACAATAAAAAACGCATAACACCCCTACTACACGACAAAAAAAAAAAGAAATACTTTCTTGGTTTTTTTATAAAAAAAAAAAAAAAAAAATTTTTTGTTTTTTTTGAATTCAAATTTCTTCTTTCTTTGTGGGGGGGGGGGGGGGGGGGGGGGGGAATAGTGTTGGCGTCAGTAACGCTGGTTAACCCAGTGACATTAATCGTCTTGCATGCTTCCTTCTTCTCACGTCACGCGATGAGGAACTGCTGTTATGCAAATATCAAATTATTAATGCATATATAGAAAGTTTTCTTACACGTCGCTCTTGGTGGTGTATCGTCCGTAGAGCAGGGATTCATATGCGGTCCACTTCACTGGTAAACGACCCTACATATCAACAAATTAAATGACCATAAGACAAATAGACGACGAACATGGAATAGCGAGTTGGCGAAAAGTAGGCGAAAGTGGAAGATAATGAAAAATCAATGTACTACCTTGCTTCCCTGCATCTTAGCGAAAAAGACAGTCGGTAGAAAAATATACTCCGAAATATATGTTCAGAAGGCCATCTTCAAGTTTTAAAATAATCGTTACTGCAAAAATGAAACTCAGGCTTCGTTTACACGCAACTTTCTTTTATACACTTTCTTCCTGTCTTAGTGTGGAAGGACAAAACCGAACAAAGTTTCACTGCAACTGCCGTTCTCTAAGACTTTTATCAGGCATAAAGTTAGTAATCTTCTTTTATATGCAGCTGAATTAAAAATTTATGCATGGCAAAGGACGTCTTTACTGTCTTTATATTACCACACTCTTACGCTTTTTTAGGATTGTCAAATGTTTTATCATTAACTTCGTGGCCTATAATTTTGGGAGCTCCTCTTAAAGCATGAAACCTAGAAAGCAACGACATAATCAACAAAACCTTACGTATTTTCCTCCACAGGTAATGGAAAGGATTGCGTGCCAGTCCTATACCGTAGGTTTGTTTCCAATATGATACAAACCTTTGTCTTCCGTTCATAAATACTTTGTTCTTGCACATCTCTTGCCATTCCAAAGTCTGTCACTTTACAAGTTTCATTTTCTCCAACCAGAACATTTCGAGCGGCAAGGTCTCGATGAATAATCTGCAATGTGAGATTTCATTTCACACGAGCTNGCCATCTTCAAGTTTTAAAATAATCGTTACTGCAAAAATGAAACTCAGGCTTCGTTTACACGCAACTTTCTTTTATACACTTTCTTCCTGTCTTAGTGTGGAAGGACAAAACCGAACAAAGTTTCACTGCAACTGCCGTTCTCTAAGACTTTTATCAGGCATAAAGTTAGTAATCTTCTTTTATATGCAGCTGAATTAAAAATTTATGCATGGCAAAGGACGTCTTTACTGTCTTTATATTACCACACTCTTACGCTTTTTTAGGATTGTCAAATGTTTTATCATTAACTTCGTGGCCTATAATTTTGGGAGCTCCTCTTAAAGCATGAAACCTAGAAAGCAACGACATAATCAACAAAACCTTACGTATTTTCCTCCACAGGTAATGGAAAGGATTGCGTGCCAGTCCTATACCGTAGGTTTGTTTCCAATATGATACAAACCTTTGTCTTCCGTTCATAAATACTTTGTTCTTGCACATCTCTTGCCATTCCAAAGTCTGTCACTTTACAAGTTTCATTTTCTCCAACCAGAACATTTCGAGCGGCAAGGTCTCGATGAATAATCTGCAATGTGAGATTTCATTTCACACGAGCTTAAAACCTTGCAAGTCATATGGACCTGTTAAGCCGTTCGGGTCTTTCTGTCTTACTTTGATGCTGTTACATTTCATTAAATTTTGAAGTTATTTTTTAAGATTTGACACCAAATGGATAGGATACATTTGTCCAAACAAGAGCTCAGTCAGTTTCACGTCTTTACATTTTAATCCACATCAGTCCAGCCGGAAATAAATTTTATGAAATCGCCATTGTCGAGGGGTATTATCAAAACGCAAGAGCAAAACGTGGCTGAAAGTGAGGGGACCTGAGTGTGTTCTTTACCGTTAGTCTGTATAATTTTTCTTTGTAAAATGGAGACAGTCTAAACCAGACTTTGAATACTAAGAGTCAAATATTTTAGCTTACAGCTCTAGATGAGAGGTAACTCATTCCATCAGCAACTTGCCAAGAAAACTTCATCAACTGATGTGACGTCAGACTTGTTTGTGGTTTGCTATCTGGGTCTTTGAAATAAGTATCGTTTAATCCACGGCTCTTTCTCAGGTAACCCAGGAGATCCCCGTACGGAACGTACTCGATCAAGACTAACAAGGGCTCTGAGCAAAAAATGATGTATTCATTTAGTCATTCGCGGACAAAGAGACTTTACTCAGACTGAAAAAGGCACAATTAAAATGACTCGACTGACCCTTTACTTGCAGCATAGTAATTGGTGACTAAAGACAGTTTACATTAAAAATAACCTACCAGATTCGGTGACGCATCCAAGTAGTTTGATGACGTGCGGATGAGGCTTTAACGTCTTCATAACTTCAAGCTCTGATAACAAATCCTTCCTGTCGGAGTCCGGCGCGTCAGCTAAAAGGTGAGGTAACGAGCGTTTTCATTGTGAATCGTTTGTGTTACATTCCTTTATTTTTCAGTTATCCTATTCTTGCATTATTAGTTACACAGTGATTAATCAAGTTATCTTGTACCTTTTAACATTTTGACAGCCACCTGTGTCACACGTTGTCTTCCACGTAGGCCTTTAACCTTTCCCCTGGCAACCTGACCAAAAGCACCTTTGCCAATTATCTTCTCAATTATCACGTCCTGGCGAAGAATCTCGTAAGAAATTGTTGATGGGTTTAAAGGTTCATACTGGCTTAATGATGAAGCGTCGATTGATGGAATGACTTCCGGTGAGCCAGATGATTGGTGTGCCTTAACCAGTGGCATATAATGTCCAGACGAAACATCTGAAGTTCTTTGTCTCATGGAAATTTGTTCTGGTTCACGATTATACACTTGCACTGCAACCTTAGATAAAGAAGAAAACACCACTTAAACTTGACTGTTTACTTTTTTGTCGATATCCACCTTTTATGAGAATCGTACGATTCTTTTGGTTTAACTGACGCGAAAATCAAACAGGACTAAAAGAAAAAAAAGAACAAAATATCAAACAAAGGAACAACTGTAAAACGATAACCAGAACAGAACCGACAAACCTCGTTATCTTTTCAACTCCAATTTTTGTAGAGATATATTACACTGATACACCTCACGATTATGGTCACATTTTTATTTATTGCGACGTTTCTAACGTGTTTATCAGGTATCTCCATTTAACAACACTTCGAGGTCATCCGTGAAACACTGTAAAGAGACGCGCTACATCGTGGAATCCATAGTACTTGCAAGGCATATGTGCTTGGAACCAAAGAAGCGTACGAGTTGTTTGGGGGGTAGACGAGAGAAACTATGGCTTCTTTAGTGATTAGCACAAACCCCGCAAATGCATCCATAACATTTAAAATTCAGAAGGGAAACAACTAAAATCGCAACTCTTTTTGTTTAGAACTTTTATCGTGGTCATAAATGAAGGAGAAATTCTAAGAGTTATCTTTGTATCAAGATTCCAGTCAAGGTGGAATTATTTAGGAAGTTATTGTTTGCGTTCTCTTATTGCGAAGATTTTTTTAAAGCTTTTTTAAGTCGCCCCGGTTCAACAAATCTAAAATAAACGCTGCAAAACGAGAGTTGAGTTTAGATTTATCCTCATACGGTTGTTGTCTACACGACATTTCAAGTGAATAAATAACTTAATAAAAAAGGACGGCCTCTTCAATTAACCTGACTTAGTCTAGAGAACCTAATTATACTTTACTATACGGCCAGCATCCAGATCTGTCCATCTCAGGAGTAGGAATGTTTTACTGCGTGTTTGGAGGGGAAAGTTCATAACTTTGAGGAATGATACGCTAACACCAATGATATCTTAGCTTTTTTCTGTTTTTTTTTTTCAATTTACCTCCCAAAGAACGGAGTTACACATTCCTACTATACTACTTTTAGGATTACAGGCCTTGCTCTTCAAGAAAAGTTTTCTCGTAGAAACGGAAACTTGGCTGATATCTAGCCATCTTTATAAAAAACGCTCATATACTGCATTGAAATTACGGGAAACAATGTCGAAAATAACTGACGCTTTATAGACCCAATGTAAAATTGGCCGCATTAGTTTCATATTCTTTTGTTTATATTCAAATTAGCCTTAACAGCCTCGTTATTAAGTACAAAATTCCAAAGAATACTTTATCTCAAAGGAGGCTAGTCAGGCTAATTTTAATTTACATAAAAGAATATTAATCCCGCAGCCATTTCTGAGGATAGTGTAGGAGCTACTGGTAACTCCTAAGGTCTCTCCTAATTGGTCGCAGGAAACAATGACCGGTCATTCTTTGAATGTTTTTAGTGTTTTTTGGGGTCAGGAAAACGCACCATTGGTGACTTCTCTTCCGGGCAGCTGCTACATGACCCATTTTTGCACTGGGTCTATGATGTGTTATTTTCGTAGCTATTTGACATGAAACATACATCAAGTTCTCCTGTTTTTTCACATGTAGTAGCATACAACCTGAAATGGTTCAACAAGACAGCAAATTAGAGTACACATATGCAAGCTCGACGTTCGCTCNGTCGCAGGAAACAATGACCGGTCATTCTTTGAATGTTTTTAGTGTTTTTTGGGGTCAGGAAAACGCACCATTGGTGACTTCTCTTCCGGGCAGCTGCTACATGACCCATTTTTGCACTGGGTCTATGATGTGTTATTTTCGTAGCTATTTGACATGAAACATACATCAAGTTCTCCTGTTTTTTCACATGTAGTAGCATACAACCTGAAATGGTTCAACAAGACAGCAAATTAGAGTACACATATGCAAGCTCGACGTTCGCTCTCTCTTTTTTTTAAATGAGTGATCACAGTTAGCTTCATTTTTTTCGTTTTAAGGGATAATCAGCATTGAGCAAATAATTCACAGGCAACATAACGATGTTAAGAATTCCAAAATTATAGAAGGTAAACCAGTTGGCTTTTTCACCTGCGGCACCGACGAACCACCCCCGGGACTACCGAGAACAAATCCAGCTTGCGGTCAGGGCGGTCTAGTGCTCTAACCACTCGGCCACGTTGCGTCCACATCTTAAAACTAAGTAATTTAACGTTAAATGTTACATGCTTTGTTTCTGGGAAAGAAATTCGTACCATTAATAACTTAACATTGCTCGACGATAACGATGCCACGAAGAGTACTAGTTATTCAAATATCTTATTCTTGTCGGATAAATCAAAGGACTAATTGCGAGTACTGAAGCTACCACCAAAACATGAGATTACCTTCCTCCTTTTGCTATCCCTATAAGAGAATTAAAAGGTTAAACTTAGCAGGGTGTTAAAGTAACAATACCGTTAGTTAAGGTAGCTCGACTGGATATTTATTGGTGGGAGGAATACTTTTCAAGTTCGAGCATTGATTCCGTCGCTAAAGATATCGGAAAATGGTCAGGTCAGATTTATATCATGAAGATAAAATTTGCCATAAGTCCAGCCAGGCGTTGAATTACCACAACAGATATACTTGGCTTTTTTCTTTTCATGCCTTTTTTTTGTTTGTTTTGTTTTGTTTTGTTTTTCTTGCAAAATAACATTTTTAATGGTATTTTTGTTAAGCAAAATGTCCTCCATAACCTTCCAAAACTCTGCAAAAAATGCTTTGGACAAATTGACAAAAACTATTTTTATATTTATAAGAACCCTACCTTCCCCTTATGGTACTATTACTATACATCTCTATAATAAATAAACCCCCCCTTTATTCTGGTAAGGGTGTTTCTCTTTGCTACGGTACGTACAACTCAAAAATCTAAAACGCGCCAAAATGGCTTCTAGATGACTCGAGGAGCGAACTGATCTGCAAAACACAAAGCAAAAACGTGTGCCATTTTATTTCGAATCTTTTCAAAAATTAAAAAAGCGGAATTAAGGACATATTGTGTTTGTTCTCATATATTCTCTTGTAAAATTCAAATGCAAACGAACGTCCATAGAGCCTGGGCTTCCTGTGGTTCTGCAATGTGGCTTGCTAGTGTGTCCTGATCCATGCTGTGATTGGTCACCATCACAGTAAAAAGTTTTCAAATATTTCAGATGTTCACGGTTTTGTTAGTTTGACAGTCTAGCAATTTTATTCTTAACATTTACCAACTTATAACAGCGAAGTCTATAATTACCTAGCAGTGCTTTAAGAATGAAGGGAATTAAATTATGGTGATATATCCGTAGAGCCCTATACATTTATTATGCATAGATGTTTCAAGTAATGTAAGCTATTTGTGTGAAATAGTTTAAGATTGCAGCATGCATTATAAATGCAGGTTTTCGTACGAAACCCTTCCCAAAATTTCGCCTGTACTCCTTGTTTTGCACATTGAGCACAGAGGGCTCGAACACATTTCTTAAGTTATATAGCTTTATATAATCACCCTTGTTGGCCATCGTCGTGTCCTTATTTCTCCTCCACATCCACCAAGCAAAGACTCCAGCAAAGACAGCAAGCACAACAACAGGTATGACGACAGCAAGAATGATTGGCAGTTTATTGTCTGGAATTAGAAAAGCAGTCATTGCCATTTTATTGGAATAGTTCAGCGCTGCGATCCATTACAGTGGTTGTAATTATAACGAAAAACAATTTCAATTAAGCTCCAGAAGGTTCCATGATTACTCTGATTACTATTACTGTGTATGTTTGAGATGCACTTTAATGTAAAACGGACGAAGAGCATTGATAGATCATATAAAAACATATTTAATTTTCTCAAGTTTGCTGGTTCTTTTATACTTGTTTGACACAGAAACAAATTAATTGGTTTGTCTATCAAGATACACATCTTTCTTTATAATGAGGAAACTTTGAAATGGGACAATAATTACATGTGATGATAACTACATGTAAAAACGTTATGAGATAGCTCGCTACATCACACACACACACGCACATAAGTTTAAGGCTGAAGCAAAATTTCCTGAAAATCTTATGAGTAGGAAAAAGATTTAAATACACTATACGGACCTCCCGGCTGGCAAATAACACATATGCATGCAGTTTCACTTCAATCCCTTGTTCCATCAATTGCGAGTTAACATTAAATAAAGAAAGACAAAGGCATTCATGATCCTAAAATTAACACCTTTTTCTTGTACCTACAGTGTATGGGTTAATTATCAGGCCCTCTTATAGTTCACACCCATACCGTTGACTAAAGCTCCACTGGGATTATTATCAAATCACGACAGTTTTTCCTTTCTAATACTCTTTGCACATTATACAACTCTTTAATACTCCCATATCTTCAATACTGTTCTATTATTTGGGCATCCACATACTCTTCTCATTTNATCCCTTGTTCCATCAATTGCGAGTTAACATTAAATAAAGAAAGACAAAGGCATTCATGATCCTAAAATTAACACCTTTTTCTTGTACCTACAGTGTATGGGTTAATTATCAGGCCCTCTTATAGTTCACACCCATACCGTTGACTAAAGCTCCACTGGGATTATTATCAAATCACGACAGTTTTTCCTTTCTAATACTCTTTGCACATTATACAACTCTTTAATACTCCCATATCTTCAATACTGTTCTATTATTTGGGCATCCACATACTCTTCTCATTTACAACCCCTTTTCCGTCTCCAGAAGAAAGCTTTAAGAATCATTACTTATTCTCCACCACGTTCACATACTTACTCGCTCTTTAACAAATTCAAAATATTCAACATATTTAATAAGTTCAAGTTTCAAGTTTATTAAGAAAAATTGAGAAAAATACAAAATATGATGTACCACTGCTCGCAGTTAGCTATAGCTATTCGAGGCGAGCAGTGGCTTGACACTAAGTAGAATAATTACAATTACAATACAATTAAAATACTAAGTAGAATTAATTATTATCGTACAATACATTAAAATAAGCTGAATACTAAATACAAAGTGAATAATTACAATTACAATACAATTAAAATACTAAATAGAATTAATTATTATCGCACAATACATTAAAATAAGCTGAATACTAAATACAAAGTGAATAATTACAATTACAATACAATTACAATACTAATAAAATTAATTATTATCGCACAATACATTAAAATAAGGTGAATACTGAATACTGACTAGTATTAATAACATTTGGGAAAAAAAAAAAAAACAAAGATTCTCAGGAGAAATAAGGCAGATTACATGAGAAGCTGGAAGGATAATGTAAATAGAAAGCTAATAGAATGAACTGAATTTAGTTAATATTTATGAGTACCAAGTTTCTTGCTTTGTTTTCCTATACATGCAGAAGCTCTTGCCCTCTCCTCTTTCATCTCTTTTCGTTCTTAACTCTGACTCTCATCAATATCTCACCAGGCAAAAAGACAACTTGTATCTTCATAGTCACAAATATTCTTTTTCTCTTCGGGTACAGGGTCCTCAAATTTCGAATGACATTCCTCTCTCACTTCGTAATTCACTTACTATTTCTAGTTATAAACATAAACTGAGAGATTATTTTCAATCATTACAAGTTTAAACTAAGTTGAACTCAAATTTTTCTACCTTCAAACTCTTTTCTTTATTACTTTTTGCACACTATCATTAATTGTTATGTTCATTTTGCTTTGTATGCAGTAATAATTCTTTATATGTTGTAATAGTTTGCCTTTTCTCTGTAAATCTTGTAAGTATTAATGCTCGTCCTGCTCGTCCATTTTTGAGCTATTTTGAAAAAAAAAAAATAGCTCATATGTCAGTAGTCTAAGCGTATGTATGGTGTTTCTTGCAGGGGCCAATAAGGTTGAAGGTACTATGAGTTGATTGCTAGGAACCAATGAGATTTTGGCATAAAAACATGACATTGCTGCACTAAAGGTCAAACAAGGGCACTTTGAGACCGCCACTTTAGTTCTTCACAATTTTGTCGTCTTCTAGTACGGCTAAAGGTGTTCAGAAGCATAACATTTGAATATCTTCATGATTCTAACGATGACTGTGGCTGCTGGTTTAAGACATATATGACCTAATTCGGCTATAGCGAACGGCACAATGTACGTGAACTGTTTCACCTGCTTCAAAGTGAAGGAAAAAAAATCACAGTTTTCTAAGGTCTGCAAATGAAACGTTAATAATTGGTATAAAGATATTGGCTTTCGCTTGGAAGCTTGAACAAGAGCTGCTTTTTTTAAAGCTGTACGGAGAAAATTAATTCCGTAAACATGCGTTATTCTCTCTCGTACAAAGTTCAACAGACCTTTAAATTCACGTTCCGGCAACTTACGTGCAACCATCTCTGATACAAGTTGCTGTCTTAAAAGTAATTAAAACATAGTATTTGATTTGTCCAGTGGCTAAGTAAAGATGGGTAACTTTTGCGTTGGCGAATAAACTTGGAAGTAGCCAGTTAACGAAATAATTAGAGATTGTGTCATTGAGTGGAATAACATGAGATGAGTAGAAATCAGTATTTCAGAAGACACTGATTCTGGTAGAAGTAAGAATGATGCATAATTTTATCAGTGCAGATGTCAGAAGAGGAGGTGATTTGTTAAGTAATGATCCGGGTAAGGTGGATAGCAATTTCTTTTGTTATGCGGCAACGGTGCTTTCCCCACATAGGAATGTTCTCATTTTTACACAGAGAATGCATAAACCTACATGAAGGCCGTTTACGCAATTGTGTTAAAAGATTTTGACCAATCACAAGAGTTGAAAACAATAGCCAAGAAGAGTGTACAATTTTACATGTTCCCCACATAGGATTTCTTTGTTATTCAAACTGAGACCAAATTTTGTTATATGGAAGATGGCTGGAAAGTAAGGATGAATATATGTACTGCTTTATGAAGTTTTGTTAACTTTTGCTGTTTAAGCCAATCAGAAGTAAGTAAAGACAATAGAAAAGTTAGCACCTTTTTTGCATTCCAACATGTTCGTTGCCGTTGTTGCTATCGTTCTTACCTGGACTCGTTTGAGCAAAGTAATATCGTAAACAATATGCGTTCTTTCACGTACAAACTTTAAAAGGGGCAAAGTCCAACATTTTCATGTGCAGACTGTGTGTATGAGTTATTTTTATAATCCTGTTTACTAGATTACTGTGTTTTAAACTCGAATTCCCTCAGGTACGAACCATGAAAGGGGGCAAAGTCCGACACTTTTACGTGCCAGCGTGTGACTATACATTTCATGAAGATTGGCTTTTCACAGTAATAATAATAACTTGAACGTATGAAGACCTGTTTGGTTTTGTAACCAATGCCTTAGAAATAAGGCTCTTGTCTTCTAAGAAGCAATAGCTTTTAAAAGATAAAGAATTAAGTTGTCAGAGTTTAAAGACTGTTTTACTGAGTAGAATCGTACGTGAAAACCTCGTGAATTATGATGATGCAACCATAATAATAAATAATAATGTTTATTTCTTATATTGCGCAGTCTAGCATGCGATAAAGATAAGCTAAGATATGATCGAATGCGCATTACAACACTAAAATCTTAAAGTATAAATGGCTAATCCAAATAATGATAATAATAATAATAATAATTTACAATTTTCGGAAAACAATAAAAGTAAAATATGAGTTAATAAAAGAACTAATAAAAAGCTAATTTAAAAAGATGTGTCTTTAGTAAAACTTTAAAAATGTTCGATGATTGACATTGTCTAATTTCTAGAGGGAGTCGGTTCCATACTTTGGGCGCAGCATTTTCAAACGCCCTATCCCCGAGTGTCTTTTTTGTTCTATAGGTATTGTCCATTAGGAGTATGCCCCGGTATGCAGGGTATGATCTCAACTGATACCGCGAGCTCTCTTTGATTTTTATCAAGTCTAAAAGATATTGTGGTGCGACGCCGTAGATACATTTGTGAACTAGCATTGCTATCTTGAATTCTATTCTGTGGGTAGCCGGAAGCCGGTGCAGGTTGATCAGGGATGGTGTGATAGGATCATACCTAGATACAGTACATACCAGCCGAGCTGCCGCGTTCTGTAGGCGTTGCAGCTTATCAAGATGAACAGCGGGCGTACCATATAGTAGACCGTTACAATAGTCTAATCGTGACATTATAATAGCCTGTACAATGGACTTCCTATTATCATATGATAAATACTTTCTAATACGCCGGATGTTATGTAGATGGTAATAAATATCCTGACATATGCTGTTAATATGTGTGGTCATATTCATGTTTGCATCAAACCAAGCACCCAGATTTCTAACAGAGTAGACAGCAGAAACTATCTACCACAATGATAAAAATCTTGGTATTTTGTAACTATTCGGTATTCGAAGAGCCACATTTTGTTAAGAAACTCCAAGGAAACCTTAGAGTTTCCCTTCTAATCAACGTTTGGTGAGTTGATATTTATTGTACTTTAACAATTTGTTTAACTTGCGCCAGATGTATCGGGGAAAGACAGAGGAAAGTGAATATTTAGCATGAGGATCGAATCAGCTGAGCGTTTCGCGTTTTCATTCATGTACCACAACACCCAATTTCGCACAAAAACCCAGTCTACATTTAGGATGAAAAAGGCAGAGTCATCACTCTTGGTGAAGTTACACTAAAGGATTCAAA